GTTCCCAAACAGAACCTCTCAGAGAACCACTTAAATTTTGAAATTATGTTGGACCATTATGTAATTATCATCTTACTTTTCCGGCTGTTGTAACATAAGACGGCTTACATTTCTTGCTGTTATCATATAATAGTGTAACGGTGTCAGATTTGACAATGTGGATTTTGGAATCGCTATTTTTTTACATTTCTGAACTGATAAAGATGCCCGGAATGTGTCTGTGTGGTTTGTTTAGTTGAATATATCGGGATGGGTTAAGTACTAAGAAACGAAATTTTGGTACAGTAACTTATGTATAAGGGGCAACGATGCTATTAAATTGTGGTTAATGGTCGAAGGATTGGGGAAATATAAGACATAAGGAATCAATAATCGTAGCTCGTGATAGCAATTACGCGGGCGATGTAGAAGTACTCGGGTGCAGCTGCAAATCCCTCTTCTGAGAGTTCGGGTAATTTTCCCATTCGAGTAAAGTCAAGTACTTCTCTTAGTAAAAAGTTTCTTAAGGCACAAGGTTTGTATCCTTTAGGAATTCATTGTAAAATGTTTTGGATTCGCTGGTCTTTTGCCGGCTACATTAACAGGGTAGATACCCTGTTAATTATTATTACATTTAACCGTCTAGATGATTAGTGGGACATACAGGAGCTAAGAGATCACGTAAACTATATAATATATTATCCAAATTATTTAACTGTAGAAGAAGCGTATAACGTTTTAAAAGTTGATCTAATACTGCAAAATGGTATTATTTCGTTTAAATTCACGCTAATTTGTTTTACATGGACGTATATAATGTGTGATTTATGTTTAGATGTGTCGATTACTGATACAGATTTGCTACAAAATAACCTTCATGGATTGCTAGAATTAATTAATGAATTCCTAGAATCCATTATACAAAGATTACAGATGTTCATGACAGAGATGCACGAAGAATTCGAAACTGAAGAAAATTTTGAACAGATTGAATCATTAAGGTGAGGAATTTTTTTTTCTGATTTTCGCAAAGCTGACTTGTTAATGCTATAAATCTCATGAATTTTTTTAGTTTATTTGACTACTCTTCAGACATTCCCGAACATGATTTTCCTTACGATCAAATTCGCATACTGCCTTGAAACCATGAAGTGTTAAATCTCGTAATAAAATAAAATACAATGGACAATACGAATTTCAATACCTAGGTAAGTAAGATTTTAGTATATGCAGAATAAAATATATTCGAAAATTAAACTTGTATTGTTTTTACAGTGTAATGGATGGCCTGCATTGAAATCCTCGTGTAAACTGACTTTTGTTTTTAACCATTTTATCACAATTTTAAATGTAAAGTTGTATTTAACTATTTTCTTTTTATTGGAGCAAATAAATATTATTATTGTCTGAAAAATTTGACTTGTTGGACTTTGAAAATCATCTGCATACGACGATTCTTCCGATACAATTAAATCTGTACCCACCTGGATGAGGCTAATGAACACTGGTAGTTGATTCGTTTCTCACCAATAAATTGGCTACGCGAAGTTTTTCGGGATTTATGTATATACCACTTACATAGGGGGTCAGTTTTTCATAGAAAGTTGTCCCGGAATGCCATTTGATGGACCACGTGTTCCGTTTCCGTATTATTTTCTAATAAACAACGCAGGTTAGAATCAGCTACAAAGTAGACCCCCTTAATTTTCAATTTTCTATTAAATTAGCCCACCAGAATGGATAAAACAACTGAACTGTAATAGTTGGTCTTACTAAAATTAAATGGCAAACAGCTTAATTTTGAAGGTGTGGATGGGTTTTATAAAAAGTTGTAAATGCTTTACAACTTTATAAAAAGTTTTAAAAAGTTTTACTTGTTAGCATTTTTAAGTCCGACCTTACTACAGATACACACTACATTGTTTGTCTTAACACCCTCGACCTTCTAATTACAAAATTTAATAGCTTCAATTCCTAAATAAATAAACCTTCCTGCAAAATTCGGAAATGTTTTCGAAAAAAGCACAGGAATTAAGCTTCAAACAGGGTGAAAAAAATCGTACTGCCCACACGAACTAACATCCATTCTTACATACAGGTTGGTTGGTTGGAGCTTTTTTGCGCAATAGCCTATAGGTTAAGTTGTATATATCATGTCAAGAGATAAAGGCTCTGTTTGGGAACTCGTTCCCAAACAGAACCTCTCAGAGAACCACTTGAATTTGAAATTATGTTGGACCATTATGTAATTATCATCTTACTTTTCCGGCTGTTGTAACATAACACGGCTTACATTTCCTGCTGTTATCATATAATACTGTAACCGTATCACATTTGACAATGTGGATTTTGGAATCGCTATTTTTTACACACCTCTAAACTGATAAAGATGCCTGGAATGTGTCTGTCTGGTTTGTTTAGTTGAATATATCGGATTGGGTTAAGTACTAAGAAACGAAATTTTGGTACATTAACTTATGTATAAGGGGCAACGATGCTGTTAAATTGTGGTTAATGGTCAAGGGATTGGGGGAAAATAAGACGTAAGGAATCAATAATCGTAGCTCGTGATAGCAATTACGCGGGCGATGTAGAAGTACTCGGGTGCAGCTGCAAATCCCTCTTCTGAGAGTTCGGGTAATTTTCCCATTCGAGTAAAGTCAAGTACTTCTCTTAGTAAAAAGTTTCTTAAGGCACAAGGTTTGTATCCTTTAGGAATTCATTGTAAAATGTTTTGGATTCGCTGGTCTTTTGCCGGCTACATTAACAGGGTAGATACCCTGTTAATTATTATTACATTTAACCGTCTAGATCAGGGGTCGGCAACCTGCGGCTCGCGAGCCACATGAGGCTCTTTGGATGTGAAGCTGCGGCTCTTTAGTTTCATACGCAAATATTATTTATTTTATAAAAAAAAAATATTTAAAAATCGTTCTGAATTGATTAACGAAGATTAGGCACCGATTCTATCTCTCAGCCACTTGTACTGGCTTTTCACCGCACCCCCTCCCCCGTGACACGCGTCGTCACTGTCGTCAGTCCGTCGAAAGATCTCGAATGACGCCGTCGTCGGATGTTTCTATGAGATTGTGAAAAACACTACTTACATATGAATAAATAGATATTTTTTCTTATGAATAAATAGATTAGTTTTTTTATCAGAAAACTTTATTTATGCTAGTACTATTAATTGTTGGCAAGAAAAACTTTTGTGGCTCTTTAGAAACTTTGAAATTTTGTAAATTGTAATTTTTGCTCTTTCGACTCAAAAGGTTGCCGACCCCTGGTCTAGATAATTACTGATAATACGTCTATTGTTTTAAACTGTTCTGCGGAAATCTGGGCAAAATCTTAATTTAAAAAATTAATAATACGCTATATACTGTACTAGGTTTGAATTACTGTTTTGTTTTACGAGAATATGACAGCATGTAGTTAGGAAAACTTGATCAGCTGCGTGTTGTTATGCTCAGTATTGTAACTTCATCTAGCGAGAGAGCATATTTTCCTTTGGTCATAACTCTTTTACGGGATTTCATTAGGCTGTTTAAACACGTGTAACTAATGGCTAAAATATGTGACTGGTCTGTATGCAAGAGCTAACAAATAATTATTGGTTACCACCTCTACAATATACAAATAATATATCTATTATGAGTTTGTAATGACCAGCGTTTTTTTCCTAGATCAACATTTTTTTCGAATGTTATAGCACTTTTTTCACTGAAGGAGGACAACATTGTCATTGCCATTTGCTTAAGGAAAGACAAATGTATAAACGACAGAGAGAATTTATAGCTTTTTTCAAATTGCAGACCAATAAATGTTCTTAAGTCTTAAATTGTCAAGTAAAAAAGTAAGAACGAAATGCAATGAGCACATTGTATATCTCTGCTTGTCTCTTGTCTCGTCATAGGGTACATCTAAAAATTGTAGGCTATGTTTTCCGGTTTGCCGCCCCCTGGTGTTAATTCAAGCGACCCGCGTGTCTGATGTATTGTTCCAAGGCACTTACACGCTGATGGGTCGATGTCATTGATGATGGACAGTAGATCGGGGTTTATGAGCGAGTTAGACCGGTGTTTAGGGACAGAGTCCTACGAAGAGTGCGACGGGGTCCGTCGACTCAGAAGTGTTGTGTTGTTTCGTCTTTGTCGCAGTTAAGACACACTGGTGAGTCCGCAAGGCGCCGAAGGTGCAGGTCGGTCAGTCAGTCAGTCAGTCAGTCAAAATAATCTTTATTGTATGGCACCGCCGAGCACAGCCAGGCAAAAATACAGAAAAATACATTGTAGATACATGTTCTTAGTCATAGAAAGGATACATTAATATAATGGTAGAGAAAAGAGAAAGTAAAATAAATTAAAATAAATAAATAAAATAAATGAAGATAAGAATAAAAATTAAATATTATAAAAGATTATTTTTATTTTTTTATTTTTTAAAGTATACTATAACTAAAGTAACATTGCTGTACATGAAAGTCTACATGCTGTTATAGCAGAGCAAGGTTCGAATATACATTTGCATCAAAGCTAGAGTGAATCAGATCACAAGAGATCAAGTCAACGAATCCCACATCTAATACAGTAAAGTGAAACAAATTCTTTTAACAAGTCAAAGTTGCTGTTGTTTTGTAAGAAAAAATCAGGCTTTACTGGCCAGTCTATATTGTTCATATTGGAATGCTGCATGCACTGATACCTGATGTCATCCAGCATAGAGCAGTAGTATAAATAGTGCATAACACCGTCCCGCACCCTACACAGCTGACAGCAGTCAGAATTAGAGTGGTGAAACCTTTTCAGGTAAACACGAAAGCGCCCGTATTCTGTCAAACATTGGGCTAAATCATGTGTGGGCTGAATCCATTTGCTGTGAACGCGTTCACCTTTGGGATAAAGCGTCTTGTTATGTGTTGTTGTGGGATCTCGTCCCAATCCATTTGCCAGGTTTCCAAAGCATTGTCTCAGATAAGGTATTTAAGTCTTGACTTAGGAATGAGATTGTAAGCAGGATAAGTATCAGGATTAGTCGTTACGTTTCGGGCCAGAAAGTCAGCCCGTTCATTACCCGGAATGCCGCTGTGTCCTTTGATTCAATTGATGGCATACTTCTTAAAAGACGTAGAAGCTGCAGCGAAGATGTCGTTCGCAACAAGGTGAGTATTATCCTTATTCCCCAAAGCAGCAACAGTCGCAGCACTGTCTGTGAAGACGTTTATCAGTTTGTTCACAACGTTAGAGTTGCACCAGTTGATTGCCATCCAGGGCCGGATTAACCCACTTTGGGGCCCTAGACATTTTCTTCTTCCGGGTTCCCTCCCGGCTCTTTCAATTAATAAATCTTGTTATTATTATTTCTATTAAATCGAATACGGACACTGCAGCTGCTTTATAAAAAATAAAAGCAAAATTATTTAACAATATTTCACAGGATTTAAGAATACATATAATTAATATTATTCTTATCGCTATAAAAAAATTTATAAATTTGTACGCCTCGTGTTCGTGGAGTGTACAAAGTTTTTTAAATAATTCGAAGGCAATGGTAAAAACTATGAACTAAGTTTAATTATAATTATTAACTGTATACAAAGACTAAGCAGCCATCTTTCTGCTTCTTCATAAAAAAACAACTAGTGCCCCCTGCTGTTTTTCTCCTCCTCGCGGGATTTTTCTATAAAACTTCTTACATCTCGGCTTCGACTGCTTTTAGACAAAACAATAGCTTTTGTTTAAAATTCTTCTCTATCTTCTAGAGACATTAGTAACAGTTATTTTCGTTTGTAGCTTCATTTGCACGTTGTCCTTCTCAATCGGTTCTTTGATAGTAAGGACGAATCTGACTTACGTGTACTATTCTGTTATCATCATCTTGAATTCCTTCAATGAGATAGGTGACAGGATTAATCATCCTCTTTACTTCATATGGACCTTTCCATTTGCTCTGAAATTTATGTCTGTTTAAACGACGGTATAATACTAAGTCGTGTTCCTTAATCTTAGATTCGTGCTTATTTTTGTCAAAAGATGTTTTATTATGATCATGAGCTTCAGCAAGATTTTCAACTGCTTGTACTCGATTAAAAAATAGCTCAGTCAATCTATTCTCAGCTTCTTTCAGAGTTTGTCCTTCTCCTAATCTTTGTATTTCCGGTGTTCTGGGTTCAAAACCATGGAGTAAGTAGAATGGACTTTGTTG